GCCCACACGCCTGGGTAAGGGGGTACCTGGGCCCACACGCCTGGGTAAGGGCGGCACCTGGGCCCACACGCCTGGGTAAGGGCGGCACCTGAACCCACACTAAGTAAAGCAAGACCCGAGACTTGAATCAGATTTGATGAGTTAATCTCAATGTTAATATTTTATAACTGATAAAATGATTTATTTATGCTTATTGTATACCTGTATAAGGTCTTCAAATGAAATGAGAGACAGTTTCCCTGTTTGATTTTCTCCATGCTTGTTCTGAGCGTGATCGTGTGCAGTCAAAATGGTTTCACCATGCTTGAGATGCTTGATGTTTTCAAATTAACATATTGTTCCCAGGTTTCCTCAACAAAATCCTTGAAGGTCTTGATGGAACAATGGATGAGCTACAAGAATGAATGTACCCACAACATCAGCCATGACCCCCCGGCCCCTGGTGAGGCATCTTGGTGGTATCATGCACCTGTGCCGTGATGATGTCTCTCAGTGAAACGTAACACCAGCCTCTCTGTTTCTGCCTCCTTGCATCTTCTGGGATTCTTCTCAGTTGTGGTCTGCAACCGAACCTTTGACAACTATGCCTGTTGGCCTGATGGGATGCCTGGTACCACCGTCAATGTGTCCTGCCCCTGGTTCCTGCCCTGGTACCGCAAAGGTGAGCAGGTGCTAGAGAAATAAAGTGAAGTGTGGAGCCTTCACTGGTCTGAAATAAGACAGCAGAAGAGCACAGCTGGAGATCAGAGAGGCTGCCACTGTCCACTGAGTTGAAGATGGAGAAGCACCCATTGAACAAGATCTATCAGCTTCTTTGAATAAAAGTTTCAGTTATGCAAAGTTAAAGGGTTACTTTTGCAAAGAGTCAAAGCTCTGCGATAGTCAATTACAGAGCTTCCCCCAGCTTTACTTTCGTTCCTGGTTTATTAACGTGAGGCAGAAATTCACACCAGCACACTTCTGCAGACCCCCCTGCAAACTCCACGCCAGAGATCTGCAGCAGAAGATCTCAGAGATCTCAGTGGCAGGCTGCGGGCCATGGACACATGAGCAGCTCCCTGGAAAAGCAGTCAGTGCAGAGGCATGCAGAGCAAAACGCATCACTCAAGACGACGAATAAGGCGTCGGGGGGAGGGGGCAAGAGGGCACATCAGCACTGAGGAAATCAGCACGAAGGCAGATTGTAACAATGCTGACCTATACTCAGTGATACTCATAAGTGATACTTAGTTATAATTAGTAAGGAAGGTATGGCCCCTGGTGCAGACCACCCCTGATGTAGACCACCCCCATTTCTAGAGCCCAGTGAAAGGCAATAAGAACCACCCTCTTTGTTTCGGAAAACTGAAGGTGGTGAACGAATGTGACAATTACTTTTCCTGTGCAGTGATATTTCTGATGTCCTGCATTTTTGCATTTCCCTTTATAATTGTATTTAAGGAACAACATTTATAATCCATATATCTTTAAAAAAGTAAAAAATATCACAAAAACACAGTCAGGATCTGTTAAACCTTTTAGTCATTGTACGGAATCTGAGAATAAAATTATACTCAGCATTCTTCTGAGTATCTGGAAAAACATTTTATTTCTGCACGCATGGGGTTTGGATATCAGGAATGCGGCCAGAGGAAGAGGCAGGTACAGGGGAGATTGAGACCTTAGTCGCTGGGGTCGCTGGGGTGAGGGTAGAGCAGGGGTCACTCGGGCCTGTAGTGAGGGTAGAGCAGGGGTCACTCGGGCCTGGAGTCAGGGTAGAGCAGGGGTTGCCGGGGCCTGGAGTGAGGGTAGGGCAGGGGTTGCCGGGGCCTGGAGTGAGGGTAGAGCAGGGGTCACTCTGGCCTGGAGTGAGGGTAGAGCAGGGGTCACTCGGGCCTGGAGTGAGGGTAGAGCAGGGGTCACTTGGGCCTGGGGTGAGGGTGGAGCAAGGGTCGCCGGGGCCTGGAGTGAGGGTAGGGTAGGGGTCACTCAGGCCTGGAGTGAGGGTAGAGCAGGGGTTGCCGGGGCCTGGAGTGAGGGTAGAGCAGAGGTCACTCGGGCTTGGAGTCAAGGTAGAGCAGGGGTTGCCGGGGCCTGGGGTGAGGGTGGAGCAGGGGTCGCCGGGGCCTGGAGTGAGGGTAGAGCAGGGGTTGCCGGGGCCTGGAGTGAGGGTAGAGCAGGGGTCACTCGGGCCTGGAGTCAAGGTAGAGCAGGGGTCGCCGGGACCTGGGGTGAGGGTAGAGCAGGGGTCGCCGGGGCCTGGGGTGAGGGTGGAGCAGGGGTCACTCGGGCCTGTAGTCAGGGTAGGGCAGAGGTCGCCGGGGCCTGGGGTGAGGGTAGGGCAGGGGTCACTCAGGCCTGGAGTGAGGGTAGAGCAGGGGTCGCTCGGGCCTGGGGTAAGACTTTGAGACCCTAGAGGTTGAGAGTAATATATGTGAGTAAAAAAAGGGACTTTGGAGGCAGTCATTAATTGGGGGTGGGATGGGGGGAGCTGCAGAATGTTCATGTGAGTTGGGGGCAGTGTGTGCAGTCCACATGGAGGCATCTGACCGTCACAGTGGAATTTTTGGGGACAAGCTGGAGGAAGGGAAAGTCGAACAAATCGCCCTCACACCGTGTGTGTGTGTGTGTCTGTCTGTCTCTGTGGGTGTCTGTGTATCTGTCTGTCTACATGTCTGTCTGTGTGTGTTTATATGTGTGTCTGTGTCTGGCTGTGTGTGTCTGTGTCTGTCCGTGTGTGTGATCTTCAGTCCAGCAGGGCTTGGTGTATCGCGCCTGTGGTGCAGATGGACAGTGGGGCCCCAAGAACACTAGCGAGTGTGAGCAGGACGACCCCATGGAGGTGCAGATAGCCACAGCAAAACTACATGCCTGTGAACTTTACTTAACATATATTTTTTTAATTATGGCTTTTAAATATATTTGTATTTAAACTTTTCATTGTATTTTAAATGTGTTTTCTATTATGTTTTTGATAAATTTTAATGCTTGTTATATTTTTATACATTGTGTACGACTGCATTGTGCTGTTAGCTGTCCGAGAGGTAGGGTGTGGCCTGTTTGGCGTGGACTGATGATGTCATATGCCCTTGCAGCAGCAGTATGGCAGGATCCTGGGCAAGCTGAGGGCCATGTACACTGTGGGATACTCACTCTCCTTGGGGGCCCTGGTCCTGGCACTGGCCATCCTGGGGGCCTTCAAGTGAGAGCCAGCTGGGCGGGGCAGTATGAGGAGAGCATGAAATGAAACCTCCACAGTGCACTCCACCATATGCACATGAATGATAGCTGCATGCTCTTTCTTGCAGGCACTATAGATTAGTTCTGATACCCCGGTCAAGGGAGTGTGGAACGTATTACCTAAGGAGCTATTCTTATAGTCGGGAGAATGAGCTCTGCTGTTAGCTGGCACATGGATCTTGCTTGTCTGTGATCTGATGCCTATCTGCAGGGGGTTTAATGAGGAAATGATGCAGACTCAGTGATGAGCAGCTCCCAGGGCCAGATGGCCTGAGCACCTCACACCCTTGTTTTCCCAGGAAGCTGCACTGCATGCGCAACAATATCCACATGAACCTGTTTGCCTCCTTCATCCTGCGGGCTCTCTCCATTGTGGCCAAGGACGCCCTGCTGGACACCACCAACTACAGCCTGTCTCAGGGTGCTGCCACACCTGACTACCAGGTGGAGCACTGGCTGAATCCTCAGGTAGGCTGCCACTAAGGGGCACAGTCCTGTAGGTGGCTCCCAGCTTGCCCTCTGTGTAACTTCATTAACTTCAAAATGGTCATTTTGTAATTGTATGAGGTGATTGATCTTTCATTTGCTATCATCTTATGAAAAAAAAATCCTTTTGTAAAAATCAAAATCAGATGTTCCAACCAAAATAAAACTGAATGATAAAAAATGAAAATGAAAGTTATTTGTCTGGGGTCTAATGATTTAAACTAAGTTTATATGCATGATCATGCATAATAAGTCAGGCTGTTTAATACCCTTGGATCACAGTTATCTGGCCCAAGATCCTGAAAATATGCTAAAAATGGATGACAAGCAAAAAAAAAAAAGAAAGAAAAAAGAAAAAACAGGAACATGCATGCATTGTCAGTATGTGGTGAACAGGGACAAAGTCAGGCTGTAAAGTGCATGATCATGCATGGAAAGTCAGGCTGTAAAGTGCATGATCATGCATGGAAAGTCAGGCTGTAAAGTGCATGATCATGCATGGAAAGTCAGGCTGTAAAGTGCATGATCATGCATGTAAAGTCAGGCTGTAAAGTGCATGATCATGCATGTAAAGTCAGGCTGTAAAGTGCTTCATCATGCATGTAATGTCAGGCTGTAAAGTGTTTGATCATGTATGTGAAGCCAGTCTGTAAAATGTATGATCATGTATGTAATTTTAGGCTATAACATGATCATGCATGTAAAGTCAGGCGATAAAGAGCATGATCATGTACAGTATGTAAAGTTAGGCTATAGCACAGGTGTAACGATATACAGTACTCAGCTCACGAGACAAGATGAGACACGATATTGGGTTCATGAGAATGAGACGAGATGATATTTTAACTATATTTTGAGGAAAACTTCAAAGAGGAAATATATTACTGGAAATCAGCCTTTTATTTGATTAATTTGAAAGACAAGAAATGCTAAATAATGCAGATGTATGGTGAAATGTGTTAAATAATCACCATCATCATATGCAGTAAAGAACAGAACAAATATCTAGCACCATAAAATACTCAAATGAGAGGCTTCTCTCGTATTTGACCACTCAATTGAACATAAAATATAATATAAATAAAACAATATAAATAACAAATATAAAACATTTTTTTAACGTTTTTTTCACCGGTGCAGTAGATTTAAGTGAAGAGCTATGATGGTGCTGCGAATGCCTTTGCATAGTATTAGCATTAGCCGCTGTGTACGGCATTATTTTCCTACAATGCGTACAGATGGTTCATGTTTTGTCTGTCACTGTCTCGCCGTTTATGTTTTCTGCCGGGTACACAAAATGCTGCCACACAAAAGTTTTGAAAGTGTCTGGGGCATCTACTACGGTAATTTCCTCAGATGCCGACATTCTTACATCAGCTGATTTGCTGGGAGGGGCTTGCACATCACTGGGGCTGAGGTGGCCAGGGTGGTTAAAGAGCTCCGTGGCGGCCGGTCCCCAGGGGTGGACGAGATCCGCCCGGAGTACCTGAAGGCTCTGGATGTTGTGGGGCTGTCGTGGCTGACACGCCTTCTCAACAGTGTGTGGAGGTCAGGGACAGTGCCATTGGATTGGCAGACCAGGGTGGTGGTCCCCTTATTTAAGAAGGGTGCTTCGGGAGTATGGGGTCCAGGGTCCTCTGTTGTGGGCGATTCGGTCCCTGTATGAACGGAGCAGAAGCTTGGTCCGCATTGCCGGTAATAAGACGGACGTGTTCCCAGTGCGGGTTGGGCTCCGCCAGGGCTGCCCTTTGTCATCGATCCTGTTTATAATATTTATGGACAAGATTTCTAGGCACAGCCAGGGTGTTGAGGGTGTCCAGTTTGGTGGCCTCAGGATTGCCTCGCTGCTTTTTGCAAATTATGTCGTCCTGTTGGCTTCATCTGCTGGGGATCTCCAGCATGCACTGGGGCGGTTCGCAGCCAAGTGCGAAGCGGCAGGGATGAGGATTAGCACCTCCAAGTCCAAGACCATGGTTCTCAGCTGGAAACGGGTGGTTTGCCCTCTTCGGGTCGGGGAAGATGTACTGCCTCAAGTGGAGGAGTTTAAGTATCTCGGGGTCTTGTTCACGAGTGAAGGTAGGCGAGATCGGGAGCTGGATAGATGAATCGGAGTGGCGTCTACAGTTTTGCAGGCGCTTAACCGGTCCGTCGTGGCTAAGAAAGAACTGAGTCGAAAAGCAAAGCTCTCGATCTATTGGTCCATCTTCGTCCCTACCCTCACCTATGGTCATGAGCTATTGGTAATGACCGAAAGAATGAGATCGCGAATACTGGCAGCCGAAATGAGGTTTCTCCGCAGGGTGTCTGGGCTCTCCCTTAGGGATAGGGTGAGAAGTTCGGATATCCGGGAGGGCTTCAGAGTAGAACCGCTGCTTCTTCACGTCGAAAGAAGCCAGTTGAGGTGGTTTGGACATCTGGTACTGATGCCTCCTGGGCGGCTACCCGGAGAGGTTTTCCGTGCATGTCCTACAGGGAGGAGGCCCCGGGGCAGGCCCAGGACTCGCTGGAGGGATTATATCTCTCGGCTAGCCTGGGAACGCCTCGGTGTCCTCCCCGAGGAGCTGGTAGAGGTAGCTGGGGAGAGGGAGGTCTGGGTGTCTCTCCTGAAGCTGCTACCCCTGCAACCCAAACCCCGGACAAGCGGAAGATAATGGATGGATGGATGGATGGATGGGACGAAATGTCCCCACAATGTGATAAAAACCTGTTATTTTGACGTTGTTGGAATGATTTTTTCGGTCCCCACAAGGGGAATTTTTATAGAAATCTTAGCTCTGATGGTTGTCTGTGCAAACATGCCGAACACCAGTTTGGAGTATCCAGCCTTCTTGGAGACCCTGGAGTAGGTGCTGGAAGGTGCCCTGTCTGGGGACTCCATTATTCTGATGACTTTAATGCTCACGTGGGTCATGACAGTAAAACCTGGAGAGGTATGATTGGGAGCAATGGCCTGCTCAGTCGGAATCCGATCAGTGATCAATTATTGGACTTCTATGTTAATCACGTTTTGTCCATAATGAACACCATGTTTGAGCATAAGGGTGTTCATAAGTGCACCTGTTACCAGAGCACCCAAGGTCGTAGTTCACTGATCGATTTTGAAAAACATATTGTTGGATTTATATTCATATGTTTTGGACACTGGGTGAAGAGAGGATTATAGCTGTCAGCTGAACACCTCTCGGTGGTGAGTTGGATCCAGCGGTGAGGGAAGATGCAGGATAGACCTAGTAGAGCCAAACGTATAGTGAGGGTGTGCTGGGAACGTCTGGCAGAGATCCCTGTCCTTGATTTCCCTCTCCTGTCTTCCTTCCTCAGGCTCCCTGGCTTCCCTCTTCTCTCTTCCTTCCCCCTGTCAACTTACACCTCTGACAGAACTTCTCTCCCAAGGGGATGTTGAACCTGAATGGGGCATGTTCCAGGACTCCATCACTGACATGCCAATGCTGAGCTGTGGCCATAACATTTTTGGTGCCAGTCGCAGCAGCAATTCCCAAACCCGGTGGTGGACACCAGTGGTAAAGGGAGCTGTCATGGTCTTGGTTAGCTTGTGGGACAAGAGGGAGATCAGGAAGCAGCTCTGGTGATTGCTGAAGCAAAAATTCAGGTTTAGTAGGAGTTTGGTGAGTCAGTTAGCCTCGAAAAGGTTCTGACAAATCATCAGGACACTCAGGAGGGGGAAGCAGGTTATCACCAATGCAATTTATAGCAGGGATGAAGAGCTGTTGACCTCAACTGGGGATATAGTCAGGCAGTGGAAGGAATATTTTGAGGATCTCCTAAATTCCACTGATATGCCTTCCTTGGAGGAAGTAAAGCTGGAAGACTCAAAGGAGGACTTGCCCATCACTGGGGCTGAGGTCGCTGAAGTAGTCAAACAATTACTCAGTGGTAGGGCTCCAGGGGTGGATAAGATTCACCCTGAGTTCTTAAAAGCTCTTGATGTTGTGTTGCTGTTCTGGCTGACACGCCTCTTCAACATTGCATGATTGTCGGACACAGTGCCTTTTGATTGGAAGACTGGGGTGGTGGTCCCAGTGTTTAAGAAAGGGGATCAGAGGATGTGTTCCCACTTTAGGAAGACCACACTCCTTGGCCTCCCTAGGAAAGTCTATGCTGGGGTACTGGAGAGAAGGGTACACCTGCTGGTTGAACCTTGGATCCAGGAGGAACAATCCAAATTCAATCCTGGTCTCTTCACCTTCAGGATACTGGAGTGTTCATGGGCTGTATTCTCAACCAGTTTACATGTGTTTAGTGGATTTGGAAAAGGCATACGACCATGTCCCTCAGGGGGTCCTGTGAGGGGTGCTTCAGGAGTATAGGGTTTGTTGTTGCGGGCCATCAGATCCCTGTACAAACGGAGCAAGAGTTTGGTTCACATTGCCAGCAGTATGTCAGACTTGTTCCAAGTGGGTGTTGGACTCCGCCAGGGCTGCCCTTTGTCATTGATTCTGTTCAGCTTTTATGGACAGACTTTATAGGCATAGCTAAGGAGAAGAGGGGGTCTGGTTCAGGGACCTCATGATTGCATCTTTGCTTTTTGCAGATGATGTGGTCCTGTTGGTGTCATTGGGCTGTGACCTGCAGCATGCACTGGGGCGGTTTGCAGCTGAGAGTGAGGCAGCTGGGATGATGATCAACACCTCCAGTTCTGAGGCTATTGTTCTTGTCCGGAAAAGGGTGGATTGCTCTTTCCTAGTTGGGGATGAGATGCTCCCTCAAGCGGAGGAGTTTAAGTATCTCAGGGTCTTATTTACGAGTGAGGGAAGAAGGGAGCGGGAGATTGACAGACGGATCAGTGCAACGTCTGCAGTAATGCAGACACTGTACCATTCTTTTTTTGGTGAAGAGGGAACTGAGCCGGAAGGCAAAGCTCACATTTTACCAGTCGATCTACATTCCTACCCTCACCTATGGTCATGAGCTCTGGGTAGTGACTCAAAGAATGAAAGAAAGAGCTCAGAGATTCAGGAGGGGCTCAAAGTAGAGCCATTGTTCTTCTGCATCAAAACAGTTGAGGTGATTCTATCAAATATGCCTCCTGGATGGCTCCCTCTGGAGGTGTTTTGGGTGTGTCCAACCAGGAAGAGGCCCCAGGGCAGACTCAGGACATGCTGGAGAGATTATATATCTCAGCTGGCCTGGGAACACCGTGGTATTCCCTCGGTGTAGCTGGAGGAGGGAGCTCATGAGAGGGTGGTCTGGACCTTCCTGGTAGACTGCTGACCCCACGACCAGAACCCAAATAAGTGGCAAAAAATGGATGGATGGAAAAATCTGCCACGGTAATCAAAAAACAAAAAATTCCAAAAGACTTCTATTTCATTAAGTTACTTATAGTTAAGGGTTAGGGCTGGGTAAGGGTTAAGGTTGTCATTGTTGACATTAGTGTTTTGCCTATAGAAATGAATGAACAGTCCCCAGAATGATATGAGTAAAAGTCTGTGTGTGTGTGTGCGTGTGTGTCTGTGTCTGTGTATGTTCACACGTCTCTGCTCCTCCCAGACAGCTACAGGGTGCCGCCTTGCTGTGGTGATGATGCAGTACAGCGTCATGGCCAACAACTACTGGCTGCTGGTGGAGGGTATCTACCTACACAACCTACTGGTGGTTACAGTCTTCACTGAGAAGAATTACTTCAACATCTACCTATGCATTGGTTGGGGTGAGCTGATGTGTGTGTGTTCTGTAGTGTAACTCATCTGATCAGTCTAGAGCTAAACTGGTCACTATGGTTTCCATTGTCACACAAACAGCAGGTTGTTTTAAGCATTTTAGTCCATCAGTTTTCAAGGGATTATTGTGTGCAGGAGATGGAAGAGAAGGAAGAGGATGATAAGAGAATGGGAAACCTGGGAGCATGGGGAAGGAACATAGGAGAGGGAAGCCAGGGACTCAGGGGGAAGGAACATAAGAGAGGGAAGCCAGGGAGTCTGGGGAAAGGAAGAGAGGAGAGGGAAGCCAGGGAGTCTGGGGAAAGGAAGAGAGGATAGGGAAGCCAGGGAGTCTGGGGAAAGGAAGAGAGGAGAGGGAAGCCAGGGAGTCTGTGGAAAGGAAGAGAGGAGAGGGAAGCCAGGGAGTCTGGGGAAAGGAAGAGAGGAGAGGGAAGCCAGGGAGCCTGGGGAAAGGAAGAGCGGAGAGGGAAGCCAGGGAGTCTGGGGAAAGGAAGAGAGGAAAGGGAAGCCAGGGAGTCTGGGACAAATGTGACAGGAGGGGGAATCTGGAGAGTCTGGGGAAGGAAGACAGAAGAGGGAAGCCCAGGAGCTTGGCAAAGGATGAGAGAAGAGAGAAGCCAGGGAGCCTGAGGGAAGGATGACAGGAGAGGGAAACTAGGAAACCTGGAGGAAGGAAGATAGGATATGGAAGCTAGGGAGCCTGGGGCAAGGGTGACAGGAGAGGGAAGCCAAGGAGCCTGGGGCAAGGATGACAGGAGAGGGAAGCCAAGGAGTCTGGGGGAGGGAAGAGAGAAGAGGGAGGCAGGGAGCAGGAGAACGACTGGAAGGAGGGAGCAGTGGCTGGCTTGCTCTTATCATGTCTCCATCCCATAGGTGCCCCACTGATATTTGTGTTGCCCTGGGTGACGGTGAAATACCTCTATGAGAATCATGAGTAAGTTTCCTCCTTCTGTCTGCCTGTCTGTGTGTCAGTTTGCTGGTTCTTTTACAATTTTGTCCCAGGCATGCAAATTGCTGCAACACAATGTAGGGATCCATGCCCTATCAAACCAGCATCTTATTAACCTGAAAATAGTTTTACCATATCAATGGGTGGGCAGAGGGAGCTCAGCACAGCCATGCTGCTTAACAGTGAGGAAGCCTGTTTTAATTAATGCCTCACTGCAACATGCCCTGGGTATGTCGTTAAACTGCATCCTGCCCTGCAAGCGGTCATTGCAGGGATACGTTTTGGGGGTTGGTGGCAAGATTGTCACTCCAGCCACAGTAAAACTGCTCAGTATAAACAGGCACGATACCCTTTTGCTCTCCAGGGGAGTAGCTCTGCTGCAGCCGCAGGAAGGCTGCACGCATCATGAAGGGGATGGGGGAAAGCCTTCGGGAGCCCCATCCCCAGATGAGTCGAAACCATTGGAGAGCTAATAGGGTCAAGCCTGTTGGGGATCAGGGCTGATGTAATGCAATATGAAATTGCTGCACAATCACATAACAATAATATAATAATAATAATAATAATAATAATAATAATAGCAATGGTATCTTCTTTCTGACCCCCCCCCCTGGTGTCCAGGTGCTGGGAGAGGAACATCAACATGGGCTTCTGGTGGATTATCCGCTCTCCGATTGTGTTCGCTGTGCTGGTCAGTCCACTCGACTACTCTGCTCTCCTTCCGCGGTGCTCTCCTTCTTCTCCTCTATCCTCCCTGTTGTATTTGCTATCCGCTGTCCATTCCTCTTTGCTGTCCTTCCTCTCCACAGTCCATCCTTGCTGCCATCCTTCCTCTCCACTCCCCTTCCTCACTGCTGTCCTTCCTCTCTGCTCCCTTTCCTCTCTGCTGTCCTTCCTCTCCGCTCCCCTTTCTTTCTGCTCCCCTTCCTCTCTGCTGTCCTTCCTCTCCACTGTCCTTCCTTTCTGCTCCCCTTCCTCTCTGCTGTCCTTCCTCTCCACTGTCCTTCCTTGCTGCCGTTCTTTCTCTCCACTCCCCTTCCTCACTGCTGTCCTTCTTCTCCACTCCCTTTCCCTCTGCTCCCCTTCCTCTCCGCTTCCCTTCCTCTCTGCTCCCCTTCCTCGCTGCCATTCTTCCTTTCTGTTCCCCTTCCTCTCTGCTGTTCCTCCTCTCTGCTGTCCTTCCTTGCTACTGTCCTTTCTATTTGCTCCCCTTCCTCACTGCTCCTCTTCCTCTCCACTTCCACTCCGCTCCCCTTCATCTATGTTCTCCTTCTTCTGGCATCCACTGAGTTGGCTCATGCTGGTTTAGCACCCAATGTAACTGTAGCAAGACATTTATAATTACAAATTCATCATTACATGGGGGTTGGAGCTGGGTCCTTTGAGGAGCTTGGGCTCCTCCTTCCTCCACCCCCCACCCCCCACCACCTTTGTGCCTCCACACCCCGCATCATGGCCATGTGAGAAGACAGCCACATGACCCCTCAGGTTGCTCACAAAGCACATGCACACATAATGCAACCATGCATAAACACAGTGTATCCATGCACAGCCAAAGCTGGGCCCCTGTTACTGGTTCTGTTGGACTGTTCTATCAGATGCACACAAAATGTCATTCTGGGATGTGTCTGTAGCCCAGGGCTGATGCGTATGCAGAGTGTGGTTTTGCTTCGTTTCGTGGTGTGTTACTGTCAGGGTGCAGGACACCTCAGCATGTTAGGGATGTGTCCGGGGAAACAGCATGGACGCCATGAAGTTGTGGAAAAAAGGGGTTTATTCAGAGAAATCGCCAAACACAGAACAGAAAACTAATGAACAAACGTCAATTACCGAGCAGGGGTAAGACAGACTCGGAAGCACTAAATACCAGAATTGATTAACAAACTAGACACAGCTGAGAACACAAGGATTCCACATGAGATAACAAGGGGGCATGGCACACAGGAGGATCGGAGGAACAAGTCATGACAGAACCCGCCCCCCAAAGGCGTGCACACCGGGTGCACCTAAAGGGACCAGAGGGGATAGAACTTGGGACAGCACAGGACAAGACTTGGGGAAACAAAAGCAAGAATGTTAACGCACCACACCGACTCTAGACTGGTGGACGAAAACACCAACCAGAACAGACAAACCATGGGGAACGCAGAGAGATACAGGGACACCAAAGACAGGAACAACGAAGGGACCACACCAGGGGACAGAAAACCAACAGGAGGAACAAAAGGACTAGGAGGGAACATAGGCGGAACAGAGGGACAGGGAGCAAACACAGGGGGTACAACACCAGGAGGTATGGAAGCAAAGGGCGGGGGGAAAAGGGGAGCCAGAGGGAACCCTGGTGGGCAGAAGGCGGAAGTTGCAGGGGCAATGGCCGACCGCAAGGCTGGAGCAGGTGGGACCCTTGGCGATCGTGAGGCAGGGGCCAGAGGCGACGCCGATGGGGGCGAAGAGGAAGGTGGAGGGACCGACAGAGAAGGGAAGAGAAGGGGACACTGGAGGAGGCAAGGAGGGAGGAGAAGCCACCGCAGGCGCAGCCACAGCCAGTGAAGGCGCAAGTGATTGACGAGTTGGAGTCGGGGGAACCACAGGCGACCGACAAGGCGTCAGAGGAGGGACAGATGCCGCCCAATAAGGCACTGCAGGGGGATGCGCAGACGACCACTGAGCCGGAGCCTGGGGGACCGCAAGCGAGCCAGGGGGTGTGGCGGGAGGGACCCAACACCTGCACAGGTGTCTTCTCCCTCTTTGGGGCACCAAAAGCCAAGGTCTTGGCCGGGATCTGCCACGCTGGGGTGGCGGCTGGGTTGACCCACCAGAGGGGTGCCATGGGGCAATCAGGGAAATTCCTGAGGGGTCCCACTCAAGCTCCTCCTCCACCAAGGGGAAAGGAGTGGTGGTCCAATAGTCCGGGACTTCCTCAGGGACAGGGACCAGGGGATCAGGAACCATGGGGGCAGGAGCAGGCAGACAGGCTTCGGGGCACCGGCAGAGCAGCAGGCAGATGGGCTTCAGGCGCAGGCGGACTAGCAGGCAGATGGGCATCGCGCGCAAACACCGCTGGTATCGGGACAGGCTCCTCCTGACACGCCATCGGTGAGTTACCGGAGATCAAGATGGCCCCCAGGAATATGGCCAGCATGTCCTCCTGTCTCAGCTTCCTTCTACTCCTGCGAGCTGGCACTGTGAAGTCCGGCAGCTTACAAGGCAGGGAGGAAGAAGACCACAGTTGATGGTCGCCTGCGGGATCATATCTTCAGCATCCCAGCTTCTCAGCCGGGTCAAATTAATCTGCACCTCCTCTGTTACCTCAGGCTGTCCGAGCCAGTAAATCACCTCACCCAGAAGATCGAGGTGTTCCGCCTCGCTGAGGGGAGGTGTTTTCTTTTGTGGTCTGGTCATTCTGTTAGGGATGTGTCCGGGGAAAGAGCATGGACACTGTGAAGTAGGGGAAAAAGGGGGTTTATTCGGAGAAATCGCCAAACACAGAACAGAAAACGTATGAACAAACGTCAATGACCGGACATGAGTAAGACAGACTCGGAAGCACTAAATACCAGAATTGATTAACAAACTAGATACAGCTGAGAACACTGGGATTCCACATGAGGTAACAAGGGAGCGTGGCATACAGGAGGATCTGACGAGCAAGTCATGACACAGCATCACCACCACCTACGCAGCTTCATACTGATTAGTGCAGCTCACAGGAATGGCCGTTTCTGATATCCAGACATTCAGATACACACAGAATGTAATGGACTTCTTTTCATTTTGAAACACTCTTGGAGTGTATACCTAAACAAGGGATACACAAGGATTTCTATGATTATGTTTTTTTTTTCTATGGTGGCATAGGTATGGCAAAGCAGTAGCATCCTGTTGTAAGCAGGGGCTCATAAGGACAAGGATAACATTGACTGCTGAATCAGCCGTTTGTTGTGAATGGAATGGAATTATACCTTCAGTCATTCGTGGAAGGTTGTGAAGTATTCGGTGCCTCTCCAGACTCAACAATAAACACACGCAACTGCAGTGCCAAAGTCACCTCATGACCTATATGACATAATCAAGCGTTGTCACCAGGAAAATGTCCAGAAGGACAAAAAAGGAGACATATAAGAAAAACTCTCAAAGTGATGTAAGAGAATCTCCCCTCGCTGTAACTCAATACAGATGTGGGCTACTTACACTAGAGTTGCCCATGTGCATTTGCCTAGGAAGCTCCGTATATGTACATGGTCCCCCAGGGATTTGGTGGATTGGTTTACTCTCTCTCGCTTCATCTCACCCTTAGGTGAACTTCTTCATCTTCATCCGGATCATCCGGATCCTAATGACTAAACTCAAGGCTCATCAGATGAGATACACAGACTACAAGTTCCGGTGAGAGACCTTGCTTCCTGACCCTGTGTCTGTAATCTGCACGGCTCTACCTTTTCCTTAGCAACTTTTCTTCTTTGTTATGTCCAACCTGTTACTGTTTGTATTTTTTATTAAATGTAATTGAAGGTTATTAAAGTCTTGTATCCTCACAAAGCATGCTGGGTAATGGCATATAATCTATACAACTTCTTTGCCTTTAGACTGGCCAAATCAACTCTTACCCTAATTCCTCTGCTGGGCATCCATGTCATCCTCTTCATTTTTGTGGTGGATGAGAACACAGCTCCCATGGACCCTCTACGCCTTGCCAAGCTCTTCTACAACCTCTTCTTTAACTCCTTTCAGGTATGACTATGATGAGGTTTTGCTGGGTAAGATGCTTTTAGCAAGTGGTCACTGAGCATCTATTGCGTAACAGTGCGGTAACTTGTACCTGAAATTCCGATGACAGTGTGCAATCATTTTCTTGAGTTCTGTCATTGGTTTGTGGGCTGTGGGGATCCAGGATTGACCTACATTCAGGGTCCCTCCCCCTATCCAGGGCTAAGTTTTAATGCAGCCCTGCCTATAGATTGTTGATGTGCATGGTGTTCCAAAGAGTTGTGAGCAATGACAGCTATGGATTTAGTAAGATTTGTGATGATTTGTAAGGATCACAGAGTAGTGCCCATGGTCATGGTTCCCATTCTCCAAGTATCCTTACAGCTTTCATCTTGACTATATCTCAGGTATCATTATAACTCTAAGAACCGAATAATAAATATACAAAACTCTAAGACTGATGCCATCATCATTCCAGGGTTTGCTGGTGGCCATCCTGTACTGCTTTGTCAACAAAGAGGTTAGTCTCCACTTCCCCTCACAATACAAGAGTTAGTTTATCTGTAACAAGTTCCCAAAAATGGAAACCTATAAAGCTCACTGTATCTGCCCTCCTTTTTTTCATTGAAACTCTCCCTCCTTTTTTCTCCCCAGTTCTAAGTTTCTTCTTCATAAATTAGCTCCCTTGTCCAGTAAACCATGACCCTCCTCTCTGTCTCTTTCCCTGGGTCCCTAGGTGCAGTCAGAGATCCTGAAGAAATGGAGCCGGTGGAAGCTGGGGAAGGACATCGATGAGGAGTACCGGCACACCCACAGCCAGACACCCCACGTGAAGAGTGGTAGTATCGTGGCCAATGCGCCCGAGCCACCTGAGGCCTCCATGCAGGCAGAGCCTACAAAGCCTTCCACGACTGATGCCCAACCCACAGAGAGCTGCCAGCTGGTCACCAGCTGTCCAAATGGTACCAAGTTGGGCAAGCTTGACGAGAAATTCCCTGACCCGCCACAGGATGGCACCAGCACCTGTAGCACCTTTGTTGAGTGTGCCTGCGTGGAGGATAATATGCAGCGCTATGAATTCCCACCAGTTGTTGCTGCTTCGGAATGAAGGCATTGTGTTGGTTAACCCCTCTGGAAACAATCTTGACTTGTAGAGCCCTGTCAGGCATAGGCCCCAGACAAAGAGGGTGCAGGGAGAGGATGAAAGGGAAATCTGCAGTTTTTTTTTCTTGTGGCATTGTGTGCCCTGGGAAAAACACATCATGTTGCCCATGGTTATGCCAAACCCTCTCCACAATCACAAACTCTGAGAGTATACTCTGTCCATGGTCTCCCATGACCATGCTGAAGAGTAATGTGCAGGCCTTTGTGTATGCCTGTGGAGGCAGTCTACTTTTTTCCCTCTATTTTAAATGTACAAATGCTGTGATGATTGTCTGCACTTGCTTATGCCTGTTTTATGAAAAACATAGACACATGGCATCACAAAGGTCTGGGGAATAGATCACGCTTTTTAATAGAAGACAAGACTTTTATCTGGGATAAGCGCAAAGAAGAAGTGTCAGCTGGGGGATGCAAAATGAGCAAAAGCATGTGAGCAAATCCCAATGCTTGCTGAGGACAGTGTACAGGAGCGTGGCGAGCATGCTGAGCAAGTTCAGTACACCGGAGCATAGCGGGCAGGCAGTCCAAGCACAGCATACAGTAGTGTAGCAGTAGTGTTGACACGGCACACTTTCTGTTCACAGAGCATATCACTCACATGCAGATGTGACATTATATGCTCACATGTGCAGGCCTTGGTTGGCATCAACATCCTGAATAAAATGTGGCAAAATTCAGTGAGAGCCAGGGTTTGCAGCTGAAGACAGGGTCATCCACCTGGCAAACTACCAGCAGCAGAACGCCGAGAAAGTGAATGAGTTACATATAAAAGCTAGCCTGTAAAGGCAGGATTATGTTGGAGTGACTCAATGGTTTAACCAAGTCAAAATCATTTTGGAATATCATTTCTTAGAGAGGTGTTAATATTTTGGGATTATTTCATGTTTCAGAAAGAGTAACATAGTGAAAATATATCAGTGCAGAAAAAGCCTCCCCAAAAAGTGCAGCAAAGTGCCACATGTATGTTCCTACTTCACCTAAGCTTGTCCACTCTGGCATGATGATACCAGCCCCTAGTCGACCATGGTCACTAAACATCATACGCATAAAAGACACCAGCCCACCGCTGCTACCGCTGGCTCCAGTCCAACTCTCCTAAAATGCTGTACCATTATGTGCTCAGTCTGAAAGAAACAGCTGATGTGACCTTGTAAGCTAAGGATTGAACAAGCCTAAACTGGAGACTGAACAAACCAAAACAACAACGGTGAAATTGCCTGACCTTTACTCAAAGCCTCTTTGGATTCACACTCCATGACAAACAAACATTTGCTCATGCGCGCACACAGGGACTTCACTGCGAAACAGATGGCCTCTTTCTACATTCAGAAGATGGAATCATAATCTCCGTGAGTAAAATGGCAGCTTATTTGACCCAGAGGTGACCAAAATGCCTCCTGTCTTTGTGAGGAAGTCTGTTGAATCAGTTTCATTTGCTCTTGCTGGTTGAGATTTTCTTCACATTATTATATGTGACTTTATGAGAGACAATACAAAACATCCCATTCTACTGAACAATGGATCAAATTTATGAATGAAAAATGAGGATTTTTTTAAATAAAATGCATAAGAAAAGAAATATCTTCTTGGACTATTGGTTGCTGATTATTGGCTAATTGGTTAATAACTTGAATGACTATTAGTTGATCAGTAAATGACAGGATTGACTATTGGTTGATTGGTTAATGGCTTGTATAACTATTGGCTAATTGGTTAATGAGTTGTATGACTAATATTTGATCGATTAATGAGTTGTATGGCTATTAGCTAACTGATTAATGATTTAAATGACTGTTGGTTGACGTAAATGTACAGTATCCAGTGTATGTGCTTCCTCTTGTTTACCTTTGCCAGGTATGCTCAGACTGAGTGCATAGCTTCACACGAACGTTGCAACGGTTAGTTGGACGAGAGGCTGGAAATGAGTCATGGTGGAATGGAAGCTCAAGGTCTTCGCCGGCTTATGGGAAGGCCATAGTTATTTGGGTTTAGTCTGTTCTTCTTTTCTACCCTGAATTCACGCTCCCCCTACGTCTCCTCTTCCCTAACCCATGTTAGTATCACACCTCACATCATTAGCCAGAACTTTGCACTACATGGGGCATGGTCCAACTTTAATTGGACAGATACAGTGCAGCTCCCCCTACACGAGATACTAGCTAACAAGACAAGAATAAGATTAACTTTTTTGATCCCAGGGGGAAATTCTGGTGCATACAGCAGCAAGATACAAAAGTGTAGACAAACAAGTAGTGCAAAGCAAGACAGAGTGCAAAGACTGGACTAACCATGCAAACAAATTTGAAAAAGTGCACAGTATACAAATGGAACATCCTAAAAATTAATATTAAGTAAAAAACAGATATAAATAAAAGCAAAAAACACAATAAAAGCTAATGGAAGTTATATGTGCAAAAGATTATCTTGTCCAGTTTTGCCACCATTCTCTTCTCCGCTAGTGCCACCATCCTGATGACCTCGTCCAGGCCACTCCCACTCCCAACTTCCCCAGCAGGCCACTCCCACTCCCAGCTTCCCCAGCAGGCCACTCCCACCCCCAGCTTCCCCAGCAGGCCACTCCCACTCCCAGCTTCCCCAGGCCACTCCCAGCTTCCCCAGCAGGCCACTCCCAGCTTCCCCAGCAGGCCACTCCCACCCCCAGC